AGAAGAAAGAGAAATTAAGGAGTCGATCCCATTTACAATTGCACCCAAAACCATAAGATAACTAGGAATAAATCTAACCAAAGAAGCAAAGGATCTGTACTCAGAAAACTATAAAATACTCACAAAAGAAATTGAGGAAGACACAAAGAAATGGAAAAACGTTCCTTGCTCATGGATTGGAAGAACAAATATTGTGAAGATGTCAATGCTACCTAGAGCAATCTACACATTCAATGCAATCCCCATCAAAATACCATCCACTTTTTTCAAAGAAATGGAACAAATAATCCTAAAATTTGTATGGAACCAGAAAAGACCCCGAATAGCCAGAGGAATGTTGAAAAAGAAAACCAAAGCTGGTGGCATCACAGTTCCAGACTTCAAGCTCTATTACAAAGCTGTCGTCATCAAGACAGTATGGTACTGGCATAAAAACAGACACATCGATCAGTGGCACAGAATAGAGAGCCCGGAAATGGACCCTCAACTCTATGGTCAGCTAATCTTCGACAAAGCAGGAAAGAATGTCCAATGGAAAAAAGACAGTCTCTTCAACAAATGGTGTTGGGAAAATTGGACAGCCACATGCAGAAGAATGAAACTGGACCATTGCCTTACACCACACACACAAATAGACTCCAAATGGTTGAAAGACCTCAATGTGAGACAGGAGTCCATCAAAATCCTAAAGGACAACACAGGCAGCAACCTCTTCGACCTCCGCCGCAGCAGCTTCTTCCTAGAAACCTCACCAAAGGCAAGGGAAGCAAGGGCAAAAATGAACTAATCAACTATCTTGACTTCATCAAGATAAAAAGCTTTTGCACAGCAAAAGAAATAGTCAACAAAACCAGAAGACAACCAACAGAATGGGAGAAGATATTTGCAAATGACATACCAGATAAAGGGCTAGTATCCAAAATCTATCAAGAACTTATCAAACTCAACACCCAAAGAACAAAGAATCCAATCAAGAAATGGGCAGAAGACATGAACAGACCTTTGTCCAAAGAAGACATCCAAATGGCCAACAGACACAAGAAAAAGTGCTCAACATTGCTCGGCATCAGGGAAATCCAAATCAAAACCTCAATGAGATACCACCTCACACCAGTCAGAATGGCTAAAATTAACAAGTCAGGAAACGATAGATGTTGGTGGGGATGAGGAGAAAGGGGAACCCTCCTACACTGTTGGTGGGAATGCAAGCTGGTGCAACCACTCTGGAAAACAGTATGGAGGTTCCTCAAAAAGTTGAAAATAGAGGTACCATATGATCCAGCAATTGCACTACTGGGTATTTACCCCAAAGATACAAATGTAGGGGTCTGAAGGGGTACATGCACCCCAATGTTTATAGCAGCAATGTCCACAATAGCCAAACTGTGGAAAGAACCAAGATGTCCATCGACAGATGAATGGATAAAGAAGATGTGGTATACATACATACATACACAATGGAATATTATGCAACCATCAAAAGGAATGAGATCTTGCCATTTGCAATGCCGTGGATGGAACTGGAGGGTGTTATGCTGAGCTAAATAAGTCAATCAGAGAAAGACATGTATCATATGACCTCACTGATATGAGGAATTTTTAATCTCAGGAAACAAACTGAGGGTTGCTGGAGTGGTGGGGGGTGGAACGGATGTGGTGGCTTGGTGATAGACATTGGGGAGAGTATGTGCTATGGTGAGCAGTGTGAATTGTACAAGACTGTTGAATCACAGATCTGTACCTCTGAAACAAATAATGCAATATATGTTAAGAAAAAAAAGAAGAAGAAGAAGAAGATAGCAGAAGGGGAAGAATGAAGGGGGAGAAATTGGAGGGGGAGATGAACCATGAGAGACTATGGACTCTGAAAAACAAACTGAGGGTTCTAGAGGGGAGGGGGTGGGGGGATGGGTTAGCCTGGTGATGGGTATTAAAGAGGGCACGTTCTGCATGGAGCAGTGGGTGTTATGCACAAACAATGAATCATGGAACACTACATCAAAAACTAATAATGTACGGTATGGTGATTAACATAACAATAAAAAATTTTTAAAAAGGTCTCTTATGGTTTGTCTCCCTCTCTGGTTTTGTCTTGTTTCATTTTTTTCCCTCTCTTCTTCTATGATCCTCTGCCTTGTTTCTTGAATTCTGCATATCTGTGAGATCATATGATAATTGTCCAAAGACCAAACTCTTAATCACTGGGCTATCTCTATAGCATACTCTTCCACTTAATTATTTTCACTCAGGCTCCTCCTCTGTATTCTTACCTTCTGCTCACTTTGTTAATGTTGATCTTCTTCAGGATTCTTGGCCCTTTGCCCTTGTTTATTCTCTCCTGAGGCAAAAGAATGGCTTCGACCATTACCTCTAAGCCACAAAATCTATATCTTCAGTTCTCCTTAAACTCTAGTATATCCTAATGCTTCCAAGTCTTATCCACTTGGATATCTAAAGAAATCTCAAACCCCTCATGTTCCTAAAATTTCCCATTATCCCCTGTCCTCTCACATGGGTTCCTCTTTCTATATTTTCAACATCAAATGCTTCTTTCATTTACCTTATTCAAGTCTGAACCTGGGAGTGATCCCACATGCCTGCTTTTCCTTGGCCTCTTCTCTCACCTCTTCTAATCAATTGCCAAGTTCTGCCTATTTTAACCTCCAAATTATCTTTGTAATCTGTTCTTGTCTCTACATCTCCAGTGCTACTACCTCAGGTCAGGTGCCTATTATTTCTCACTCCTGCCTGCAGTCTTGTCCTCCTCAAGTCCACCTTCCACATCACAGAGTGATTTCTCTAAATCACAGATCCTCTGATATGTAAGCCTTTCAAAGACTCCCTGTTGCCACAGCATGGCAACAAGGCCTTTCTTCCTCAGTTGCATTTTGAATGCTTCCACCAAATATTGAACTCACAAATGCACTTAAAGATATCAATTTTAATAGCTACGTGACACTTCCATCATTTGAAGACATTTGACTGGTTCTATGTGTACGTTCCTTGACATATCTCATGCCCTGTCTCATGCCTAAGTGCTTTTTGTATACCCTGTTTCTTTGTTTGAGAGGTTCCTTCTCCCTCCACATCATCCCCTCTACCCCTTTTCATCCTGAAAAACCACACTCACCAGCCCATTCTCTCTGAAACCTTCTCTAACTCTTACAGAGTTAATTAAATGCTCTCATCTCTATTTTTTTAGAACATTGTTCATGCCTATAATATTGTATGTATTGCCCTATAACTGTCATATGTTCTTTACTCTCAAAGTTCTTTTTTTTTTCCTTTAAGATTTTATTTATTTATCTGACAGAGAGAGACACAGTGAGAGAGGAAACACAAGCAGGGGGAGTGGGAGAGGGAGAAGCAGGCTTTCCGTGGAGCAGGGAGCCCGATGCGGGGCTGGATCCCAGGACCCTGGGATCATGACCTGAGCCTACGGCAGATGCTTAACGACTGACCCACCCAGGCGCCCCTCACTCTAAGTTCTTTGAGGTCAGCAATCATGTTAGATTTATCTCGAATACTCTCACAACACCCGTCATATAGACAGTGCTAAAAAAAATTTGTTGATGTCACTTGAATTAGGCTTTTTTCTATAAACCTCCTTGCTTTTAATAAACCATTTTCTAAATCATCAGTTTACACTTTTAAAAGAACATACTTATTAAAGAAAATGTGGTATATATATACGATGGAATATTATGCAGCCATCAAAAGGAATGAGATCTTGCCATTTGCAACGACGTGGATGGAACTGGAGGGTATTATGTTGAGTGAAATAAGTCAAACAGAGAAAGACATGTATCATATGATCTCACTGATATGAGGAATTCTTAATCGCAGGAAACAAACTGAGTGTTGTCAGAGTAGGGGGTGGGGTGGGAGGGATGGGGTGACTGGGTGATAGACACTGGGGAGGGTATGTGCTCTGGTAAGCGCTGTGAATTGTGCAAGACTGTTGAATCTCAGATCTGTACCTCTGAAACAAATAATGCAATATATGTTAAGAAAAAAAAAAGAAGAAGAAGGTAGCGGGAGGGGAAGAATGAAGCGGGGGAAATCGGAGGGGTAGATGAACCATGAGAGACGATGGACTCTGAAAAACAAACAGGGTTCTAGAGGGGAGGGGGGTGGGAGGATGGGTTAGCCTGGTGGTGGGTATTGAGGAGGGCACATTCTGCATGGAGCACTGGGTGTTATGCACAAACAATGAATCATGGAACACTTCATCTAAAACAAATGATGTAATGTATGGGGATTAACATAAGAATAAAAAAAAAAGAACATACTTATTATAACCATTTTCTAAATCATCAGTTTACACTTTTAAAAGAACATACTTATTATAACATTTTTTGGATGACAAACGTAACATATGTTTATTTTATTTTATTTTAAACTGCATGGAACTTATAGAGAAGTCCTTAGAAGAAAATAAAAACTCCTTATAAATCTACCGTCTGGATATGTTACCACTTTGACGTATATTCTTCCAGTTTTTCCTGTGCATTTGTATGTGTGTGTGTATATAGAAACATATGTATATTCTGGTTATATGTATATATATAATATATAGTTGGATATGTATAAAACAATATTATACATACTTTTGTAACTTGTCTTTTTTAACTTAATGTATATGAATATTTTGTCATGTCATTGAATATTATTTTACAAAATTAATTTTAATGACTGCACATATATATGAACTGTAATGTATCTGTATTGTTGAGTGTCAAGAGAATTTTGAATTTTTACTTATAGATAAATAATGCCATGGTAAATATACTTATATAAATATATATAATAAATAAAGTAAATATACTTATATTTATAAGAGTATATAAACCCTGTGCACACCTTTGATTCAACATAACAAGTTTAAAAAATATAATTCATTCACTCATTTATTTTCTCAGCACATTTATTGAATAGCTACTCTGCAGCAGGTTTTTGGGGTTTTTTTAAAGATTTTATTTATTTATTTGACAGAGAGAGACACAGTGAGAGAGGGAACACAAGCAGGGGGAATGGAAGAGGGAGAAGCAGGCCTCCCGCTGAGCAGGGAACCTGATGCGGGGCTCCATCCCAGGACCCTGGGATCATGACCTGAGCCGAAGGCAGACACCCAACGAATGAGCCACCCAGGCGCCCCTGCAGCAGGTATTTTAAAGAAGAAGTTATAATAAAGCCATTTCTCTCCAGGAGTCATATTTGGGGGAGCGGAAGCTCTATTCCACCTTAGGTTTTTAGAATAGGAGCTGGTGGGTTAGTTCCAGGGTAAGCATTCTAGGTTTGGTTGCTAAGATGTGATTATTTCTCAACAATTGGATCATATTCCCAGGAGACCCTTCCTCTGTGTCATCTTAACTGCTTCCTCCTAGTGCTGTTGTCTGGTATCGGTGAGAAGGACAGAAACAGGGACTGGAGCAGGGTCAGGCCTAGAGAGGAGGTGAGTCTGAACATGAGAAATGAAGTAGGACAGTGGCCGTGTAAGAGTAGCAAAGGGTTGGATTCAAGGGGCATTTAATAAGTAAAATCCTCTGTCCTGGCAGGGCTGTGGGTGGTGTGGGAGAGAAGTTAAAGATGACCAAGACTCAAGAACTGCCCAGAGATAGGGATTAATTTAGGGATGGAGAGAAGATAATATGTTCAATGTTGGATGTATTGAGTTTTAAGTAGTACAAGAAATGAAGAAGTCTAAAATATCGAAATAAGGTTTTGCAACTCAACATCTGGAGAGAGAGATTTTTAAAAAAATTTTATTATGTTATGTTAATCACCATACGTTACATCATTAGTTTTTGATGTAGTGTTCCATGATTCATTGTTTGCATATAACACCCAGTGCTCCATTCAGTACGTGCCCTCCTCAATACCCACCACCAGGCTAACCGCCCCCCTCCCCTCTAGAACCCTGTTTGTTTCTCAGAGTCCATAGTCTCTCATGGTTCGTCTCCCCCTCCGATTCCCACCCCCCTTCATTTTTCCCTTCCTACTATCTTCTTCTTCTTCTTCTTCTTCTTTTTTTTTTAACATATAATGTATTATTTGTTTCAGAGGTACAGGTCTGTGATTATAGAGTATACATATCTTAAGCTTCTAGTAGATAATACCAAATTGTTTTCCAAAGTGGCTGTATTATTTTATATCCCACTAGTAGTATATGAAAATCTCTATTGTTCCACACTAGTTGTTGTAAACCTTTTAAGTTTAAGCCATTCTGGTGGGTGTGTTGCAATATACTTCTGTGGTTTTAATTTTTACTTCCCTAATTCCTAGTTAGATTGAGCCAAACCTTTAAATGTGTTTATGGGCCATTTGGATATACTCTTTTATAAATTCCTTTTAAGTCTCTTACCCATTTTTCTTCGTGTTTTTCTTTGATTTGCAGGGGATTATTATATATTTTGGATACGGATACTTTGTTGATTTTATGTGTGATATGTATTTTTTTGCACTCTGAGCTCTGCCATTTTTACTCACCTAATGGTGTCTTTTGATAACTGGTGAATCTTAATTTCTCTCCTAACATTTTATTTTGAAAAAAATACCAAACCTATAGAAAATATTATTCATTTGATGAGGAGGAGGAGGAGGAAGAAGATGGCAACAATGATTATCATTACTATTACTTCGTTTAAGTCTTTAAGAGGCTGTTTTACAAAATTAATCTCCTCCGAAGTAATTTCCTGTTCCAGTTGTTGATTTTGTTGGGTTATCTTTCATAGCATTAGATTTCTACATGTCTTTGGGAATTTGGGCTTGTTCATTTTAAGTAATATCTCTCTATTTCTCTTCCTACCCCTCTTTCTCCCCTTCTGTTTAATACACTTCCTTTCTAGTTGCTTTTTGGTTGTCTCATTTCCTACCCCTAACCTGAACTCATGTCCAGGACCTGGTCTTAAAATGACAACAAAGAACACTTCTGCTACAGAGATATGGGATCCTGTGGATTCAGGTAGAGTGCCAACAGTTTCTAATTGAGAATAATAATAATCAATATTGCCTGAGTTATTACTATATGCCAGGCACTATTCTACGTACATTATTTCATATAATGTTCCTAACAACTCTATGAGTTAGATACTACTACAACTACTACTGCTACTATCACACAATGATGACCATTTTACAAATGAGTAAAGTAAGTAAAGCATGTTAAATAGTGTCTTTAGTAAAGACAAACCAGAACATTTAAACCAATCAGTCAATCAATCTACCATCTGCTGGTAGTAGATAGACTGAACTCAGACTAAATCAGTTTTCAGGGTTTTTTCTATCACTATTAACCAAGACTAGGGGTATATGTCACTGGAGTATAAGTTTTGTAGTTTATAGTAATCAATTTTTCATAGTCTTATGGACAAGCACTCCCCTACTCCAAACCTCTATCCAACTTTCACCCATAGAAGGCAGTTTATGATCTCAAGGGGAAAGATGTGATCCAAAGGGCAGGCTGAAGTTTTGAAAGTTGACACCTAATAGCAGATATCTTGTTTTTTTTGACTCTTATGCAAATTTTTTAAAAAGATTTATTTCTTTATTTTAGAGACAGGGAGTGAGAGCAAGTGGGGGAAGGGCCAGAGGGAGGGAGAGAATCCTGAAGCAGACTCCCCACCCGGGCTCAATCCCAGGACCTTGAGATCATGACCTTAGCCATCCAGGTGCCCCTCTCATGTTAACTTTTAATATACTTATTTTACATATGAAGAAATAGAGTCTCCAGGAGTTAAGTAAATTGCCTAAGGATTGTTAGTGGGAGGCAGACTCTGAGTCAGGACCCAAACTGTGTCTTCTGATTCTTAATATTCTTTGCATGTTTTGTTTTACCATGATACTCACCTATGATGAAATACCCACCTATAGCAAGAGAAAAACAGTTCCCCCGCTTCACCCTCCTTATTTCTTATGGAGATGTATATAATTATGATAGGTTCCTCAGAGATCACTGACGGGAACCGGGAATGGGATATCTCAAGAAAGAACATTGAGGACATTATGGAGGCACTCCAAGTTTCTGATCAGGTGAGGACATCTCAGACATTTTACTGGCTCCAATCAGCATAGGACCATCTCCATCAAGGTAGCTGGTTGGGTACATACCTGTTCTGCCAGGAGAGTAAGAAAAATTTCCAATCAGCAGAGCACCACTTGGTCCAGTTCATTCATAGCTCCAGGTCTGATTTCCATGTCCCTAGTCTGACCTACATACCTTCTCCATCCCCTCAACCCCTGATCCAGCTTTAATCCTCTTCCTGGATTCACTCCTCTTCCGTTCTCTACCAGGGGTTCTTATTCTCTTTATTATCTTTACTCTTCAACCTTCCTTTCTTCCTGAGTCCCCTCTCTCCTATAGTTGTCAACAGATAATGTCTTACAAACTCTCAAGTTGCTGGAAGTTAAAATCCTAAATAACAAGATGGCAACTCCACTATGCCAGAAGGTGACAGATATCATCGTTGACTACCTGAGGACAATGTGAGGAGCCTGTGCCTCTGGGCTGGGGGCTCTGGGGAAAGAAAGCAACCCAGGTCTGAGCCCAGGAGTTCTTTCTGTTGGATGATGATACTTGGAAACTAATTGGGATCTGGGATATGAGTATCTCATTTCTAAACAGTTTGCTGGAATCCATATCTAGTACTCTGAGCATATCTCAAGAACTGTGACCTAGACAGAATTGGAAGCTACAGTAGTGAAGTGAAGTGGTGAGGCAGGAGAAGTGAGATGGAAAGAGGGGGGAAGGACCTGGGCTATTGGGCTCAAAATCTGACCTGGTTTTCAGATTGTGTCCTAGTATACTATAGGCAGTCACCTTTGTTACTGCAATTCATCTCACTCTATTTAGTAAGCTATTTAAATCCACCTACCTGTGTGCTAGCCCATCTTTAGACTGAATGTTCATGATGTCTACCTGTCCATCTATCCACATACCTTACACTTACTTTCCTGACACTGGGTTAATCTGGTTTCTTATTTTCTTGGTTCACTACCTACCTATGAATTATCTTTCTTCTGGTTTACCTGCCTTCCTTGACATGCCTGTCTTCTTCTTTTTTTTTTTTTTATTCTTATGTTAATTCCCATACATTACATCATTAGTTTTAGATGAAGTGTTCCATGATTCATTGTTTGTGCATAACACCCAGTGCTCCATGCAGAATGTGCCCTCCCCAATACCCACCACCAGGCTAACCCATCCTCCCACCCCCCTCCCCTCTATAACTCTCAGTCTGTTTTTCAGAGTCCATCATCTCTCATGGTTCGTCTACCCCTCCGATTTCCCCCGCTTCATTCTTCCCCTCCTGCTACCTTCTTTTTTTTTTTTTTTAACATATATTGCATTATTTGTTTCAGAGGTACAGATCTGAGATTCAACAGTCTTGCGCAATTCACAGTGCTCACCAGAGCACATACCCTCCCCAGTGTCCACCACCCAGTCACCCCATCCCTCCCACCCCACCCCCCACTCCAGCAACCCTCAGTTTGTTTCCTGCAATTAAGAATTCCTCATATCAGTGAGATCATATGATACATGTCTTTCTCTGTTTGACTTATTTCACTCAACATAATACCCTCCAGTTCCATCCACGTCGTTGCAAATGGACATGCCTGTCTTCTGATCAAGACTCCTGACCTGCCAGAGACTTCCAAAGTTGCTTCCATAATCTACCCACCTTCCTGATGATTCACTTGCTGCTGTAGGGGAATTTCTGTGCTCTGAAATCTTCAATCCCCACTCCCGCCCTAACACAGAGACTTGGCAGATTTCTTGTCTACCTGTTATTTGTACACTCTAGGAAGCTCTCACCCTCCATCACTGGGAAGGTATATATTGAATGGGGTGGTAGGTGAGTTCTTGCCTTTTAGATGGAGGAGAATCACTTATGGACCAAAGCTGATTCTCAGAAGCTATGGGATTCATCTTGGGGATTAGCCTTAAAACAGTTAATCTTTCTCTTTCCAGAAGCCAGAGGGAGAACTGGAGGAGTTGTGTACTGAGGTCCTAATGGCTCTGGGGTTCCAGTCTCCAGGAATAGTCATCTTCAAGCTGTGTGACAGATGGCACAACAACCTACCCCCAAATTGCCTCCTGGCTGCAGTGGGGAGACTCATCCACTGCCAGGGTATAGTCTGAGTTAGTCTAAGAGGACAGGGCAGCAGAGGTGGAGACATTGTATGTGCTCTAGATTAGCTTTATACTCCTGATTTCTCTCATTGGACATCTCCACTTAGTTCAGTCATGGGTGTGTATGTGTAGGTGGGAGGGGGACAAACTAAGATCCCTATTGGGTTGCTGGGAACTCAGGAGGGAGTACCTGGAGACCTAGAATGGCATAGTAGGACATACTAGGGCATGAGAGACCCACAGAGCTAGAAAGAAGACTCAAGGTGGAGAGAGAAGGCAGAGTAGAAAGCTTCCATTCAACAGTGGTGGGGAGGGGCAAGGAGGAAGCAAGGAGTGCTTTACTTAAGGGAACCTGCAGTGTTGAATTTGATTAGAGGCTTGGAAGGTAATAGAGTAGCAGGATGAGGCAGAAAATCACCATACAATCTCTGCCCTAGTGGCTGCTGGTGGTGGTGGTGGCTCTCTTACCCACTCTGCTCCCCTCGCCCTATCACAAAGTGTGAAAAAAACAATCAAGTCACTGGGCTAGTGACAGTGACCTGCCTTTTCTTTACTACTTGGAGCTGGGGGCAAAGAGAGTCTGGGGGGAGTAAGTTTGCCTTCTGGGCATTAGGTTCAAAATGACAAGGCATGACACAGCAAGCTCAGGGGACACAGCAACAGAAGTTGGAAACCTGTCTCTTGATCTAATCAGGGCAAATCTTTTCACATCCACCTCAGACAGCATAGCTCTTTATTTCCTAAGGGTCCTTGGAAGAGAGTGTTCATGTGTACCTTGTACTAATACGCTGCATTTGTATGCTGTGCTAACATCCATTACTGAGCTTAATCTTCTCAGCAACCCTGTGCAGTGGTCACATCAGGAACTGTACTCTCATTTAACAGTTGAAGAAGCTGAAACTCAGATAAATTTAGTAACTTGTTCCGGGTTGCCCAGACTCTGGAGGCAGAACTAGGATCAGAACCCAGGCCTCCTGGACTCCAGTCTATAAAGTTTCCTACCCTAAGGCTAGGATGCTCCCCTCCCTGGGATAGGGATGTCTTTCTTGTACTCTCCCTCTTAGGTGCAGCTTCCTACATTGGTGTTACATGGGAATATATCCCGTGCCTTCTGAGGATGGCCCAAACGGAGGATGACAAGTTGGCAGTATGTCATGGTAAGGGTCAACAGGGTCTGGGGAAGACTCTGTTGGAATCACGGAGGGAGGAAAGAAGGGCAAATAAAGACACTGGTTGGGTCCCTCTGAGTAGGGATCCCAGAAGGCTGGGGAGGGACAGGAAATGGTTGAGAGCAGGCCAGGTGTGAGCAGCTACTCTTCTCCCTCTGACTTCTTGGCCTGGATTTGGGCAAGGACCAAGCTTGATAGGGATGTTGTGGGTGTTGATAGCCTCAACCACTTTCCCTTCCTCTGCTGGGTGGACCAGGTGTGCTCACAAAGAAAAGATAGTTGGGGTGGTGGTAAATAGGTTGGTGTTTCCCAGCATAGGACCCTGGAAACATTTAGGGTTGGGGATGAGAGGACTGTGCCCATATGTGTGTATGTTTCCCTTTGTGGGAAGGGAAAGGTGATGGGTAGCTCAAACTCCCTGCATCCCTCACAGTGCTCAAAGGATTGGTCATCAGTGCCCAGAAACATCTGGATCTGGACATTACAGATGTATATTATTTCAATATACATTACACAAGAGGAAGTGTCCTCCCAGGCTTATCTCACCCTCAGGCTTCTCTCCAATCATTGGTCCCTGAAGAGCAACAACGAGGTGAGAGTTGGAGATAGTGGGGTTGGATGGATGGCTGAAGGAGTGAGTCTTGAGCCAAAGATGGGGCATGTCTGTCTACTTACTGGTGGAAGGATAACTTAAATGGCTCTTCCAAAAGAGCAGGGTGACTTTCCTTAGGCTCCTCTTCCCATTCTCCAGAAAAGGGTACTATCAGAAAACTCCACTGTCCAGCCACATATTTGTTAAATATGCAGTTAAGCAACTTAAATTTACTGATTACTAGCATTAGCCAGGCACTGTGCTAGGCCCTGGGGATACAAAGATGAATAAGGAAAAGCCCCGAAGGGATTGTCTTGTCTTCATCCTTGGCTGAGGCAAGTTTGTTTTGTCTCCTTGGGCACAGGTGACAGAGCAAGCTCTGGTGATAATTGGCCATCTCTTCTTCCTCATGCCACCATCCGAATTCAAGAACCAAGTGAGCCAGTCAACCTGATGGTTAGTGACTTTGATAGCTATAAAAGTGACACCTTTCTACATTTCCCAGGTGATTGGAATGGGGTGAGAAGATAATTTTAACTAGTTCATTCTTTCCACATTTGTTGAGTAGTTAATGCTATGGTTAGCAAAGCATGGCCCACAGGCCAAATCCAGCCCGAAGCTTGTTTTTGTAAAACAAGGTTTTGTTGGAATTGCACCATGCACATTTGTTGAATTCATCTAACACCTTGAATCTCTCTGACTTTCCTGTCTCTGACCTCTAGACCCAGATTTAAATGGCTCATGAGAGTAGATCAAGCCCACCTGGATAATCTGTTTTAAGGTCAACTAGTGTGGGACCTTAGTTACGTCTGCAAAATCCCTTCTTATCAACACCTAGATTACTGCTTGATTAAATAACTGGGAAAAGGGGCCTGGAATTTGGGAGGCCATCACAGAATTCTGCCTAACTTAGAATTGTTATACCAATGTTAGGTATTTTTAGGAACAGAGGACCCAGAACTGGAACCCAAAATTTCTGATTGTTGTTTCAGTCCTTCTTCCATTTCAATGGCCTTCCTCAAACCAAGTTCCCTCCAATTTTTGATGGGTATTTCACAAAAATGTGTTATTTAGCAAAATGGGTGGGAAATACTGAGTTAAAATTAGTATCTTAAATGTAGGACTTCTCAGGAGCCTTCAATATGTAGGCTAGTCTTGTCCTCCAAGAAGCAAATACCAACATGGTATTCGAGGTGCAGGAGATTTATTGGAGGAACATCTGTGAGGGAAAACAGGGAGGAAGCCAGAGGAGGCAGGGAGCCATCAGACTGTGTTGTATGTCTGACCCTTGATAAGGAGAAGAGGAAAGAGGGAAGGAAGGGAAGGAGGGAAAAAGTGAGGAAGGTCTTAGATTACAGTGTAGTTCTAAAAAAGTTTCAGTATGGCCAACAGGGAGGCACTGAACCAAAGTCACCCATCAGAAAATGTGCCTGCCTTAGTGGACTTGCCATATTCATTCATTGGCTGGGAGAAACCTGTGGGAATCTGGCTTCAGTTTCAACACAGTGATGGATTTTAGAGCATGACAGCTGGAGATGCTGGTTAATTATGCACCTCAGAATAGGCATCTGAGGGGGCACCTGGGTGGCTCAGTCGTTAAGTGTCTGCCTTCGGCTCAGGTCATGAATCCCAGGGTCCTGGGATTGAGCCCCACATCAGGCTCCCTGCTTGGCGGGAAGCCTGCTTCTCCCTCTCCCACTCCCCCTGTTTGTGTTCCCTCTCTCACTGTGTCTCTCTCTGTCAAATAAATAAAATCTTTAAAAAAAAAATAGGCATCCAAGAGGCATATTTTTCAGGGTTGGTAAATATGCTAATGTGCCTTTGTGAATTTCCAAGATGAGGATTTTTTTTTTTTTTTTTTTTGAGTGCAACAATTATTAGCATCGAGTTTCCAGGGACTACAGTTTGCAGTCTACCATTACACTACCACCTCAAATGCATTTTCCTTGTTATATAAAGAGATGACCTTTCTCACATATGTACTCTGAGTTTTGCCCATTAGTGGCCACCCACACAATCTCTTGTTTAATCTCACTCCTGGCACATGTCTGAATGTTGCCTAGGGTAGGGTCAATGAATTTGGTACAAAGGTTTGCTCTGTGTAGTCAATTAGCCAGTTGGAGGATGAAATTTGTTTCCCAACTACTAGTCCGAAGATTGTTCAGGTGGATATTTCACCCCACATCTTGACTGACAGTGGAAGTGTTTTGACTACTCCCTTTCCCCTTCTCCTTCCTCCTCCTCTCTCACTCCAGGACATGGTGGTTGAGAATCAAGATATTTATCAGTCTGTAGTATAATTTTGTTTGGACATCAACCAGCACTAACCAGCTCTATTTAAGCAAACTGGCCCTAATGGGAATCCATCAGGTAGACCAAAGGAGAGGAAATGTTGAATATCCAAAATCCAGTGGAGGGATTTCTGCTTCTGGTAAAGATGGAGTAACTGAGGTCAGATTTACCCTCTTGCCTGAAACAACTAAAAAGCTGGACAAAATATATGAAATAATGGTTTTTAAAACACTGGACATCAGGCAACAAAGAACAGTGATTCCTGAGAGGCAGGAAAGAAATGAGGTGAGGCCTATTATTGCCCCAGCTAATTTTCTTAAGAAAATTAGGTCCAGGTCATGGCATAGGGAAAGAAAACCCAGGAAGAATCTAGTGG